TATGAGTTGTGTGTATGTAAGTAGCATAGTGTTTCTCCCTGTAACATCGTGTGTCACCGCTCTCTTTCTTTCTCTCCCGTCTCACCGTATTGCTTAATACGGGTTATACTTGGTACGCTCAGACTTGAACTTGCCGCTGTCGGTCGGGCCGGGCGCGCCCGGGCTACGTAGCCTCGGCGTAAACGTCTTGTGTGACCGATGCACGCCGGTAGTCTGGACCGGTAGTGCAGATGCAGCCGCGCCAGCAGCACCACCTAGCAATTCCGTGAGTCCGCCGAGGGCGGTGAGGCTAGATAGGGCGTTGAGGGCTCCTGGCTTGCTTAGCAGCTGAGCCAAGGGGATAGCGCTGGCCAAAGGAGAGGCAGTGGTGGTGGTGGTAGAAGGGGAAGCACTGGCCCCGGATGCCCCGGGAGTGGTACCGCTGCCAGGGGTTTGGGTATTTTGGGCCTCAAGGTTAGCTTTCTGCAGTTCGACACTGGGGAAAAGACACAAAATGTAAAAAGGTGAGGGCGGGAACGTTTCTCTCGTAAAACAGTGTCAAACAGATTAAAACAAAAAACATAAGAGATGACGAGACATAAAGAAGAGAAAAGTAAAAGTAAGAATAAAGAAAGCAGTAACAGCAACAGCAGTAGTGGTAGTAGTAGTTAGTAGTAGCAGTAGTGATGGTGATGGTGGTGGTAGTAATCATAGTAAAAGGAAATTAGAAATAGTAATAGTAAGAGCTGTCGTGTAGAGTTATCGAACAAGACGACGTAAAAGACCATCAGAAGAGAAAAAGACAAACTAAATCATAAGAAGGTTGTAGGCTTAGAGAGTTACGCCAGAGGTGCTCTGTGAAACGTGATTATCACGTACACCGGCTACGTGGTTCGTGGGAAAGTCTTGGTCGCGCGACAGGTCGCGCTCAGACCCTACCAAGTGTCTAGTGTGTTCGGATAGACCAACACAGGCCGATGTGCGCGCGATGAGCGACATCGATGACCCCAGTCGATCACATCCGAGCGTGAGAGACACTGAGCACACGAGTGCCGGGTCGAAACACGTCCATATCGCGAAGGACGCATGTAAGGATGTACCATGAAGGTATATAAACACGCGTTTTGCTAGTCTACATTCAAAGAGAATAAGTACCTGTGGGATGAAAAAAATTAAAATAAATTGCAGGAAGAAATGAAAGAGGAACATATGTCACATCCACCACAAGTAGTAGATTTGCGAACGATGCGATCGTTTTCTAAGTGTGACGGGCAGCGCGTGACTCGTTGTACGATCAAGCGCACCATCGGGAGAGAGAGAAAGAACAACCCACCACCTTCGACGTTGCTCGCGCGTCTTCTTGACCTACGCTGCTTGGGTGAAAAAAAAAAAAAAAACAAAATAAAAGGAAAAGAGCCAGATCAAATGTCTCTCTCTTTCTCTGCTCAGTGCGCCGGTAGAACGAGTAGCGGCCACCACGCGTGGGCTTACAAGAACGAGGCAGAAATCAAAAGTAAATTGGGCGCAACGATATGCACTCTGCCGGAAGCCGGGGCGAGCCGTATAGGCGCGCCGCGCGTTGTCATCGCGCCTGCCGCCGCTCTGCTGCTGATACGGCGAGATCGTGAGGGTACGCGACGCGTGTGTCTAACCGCGACTCTGTGGGTGGGTCGATAATTGACTCGTACATCACAAGCGCCCGAACGGGAGGCTGGGATTGGACGGTTGGACGGATAGATGGATAGCAGGCAGACTAGGCAGGCAAGCAAGCAGGCAGATAGGCAGCAGGCAGGCAGAGTGCAGACCTTGGCCGATAGGAGTGTGCTGGGACACACGATAATGTAATAAACACGATATGATAAAAGTTGAACGGGCGAGGAGATACAAGAGGTATCGAGATGATACATATACACACGATCGCTATTTAAAATGCAGTAGTAAAATGTAAGTGGCAATCTGGAATAAAATATAATGGATTATAATTATAACGTGTATATGTATGTGTGTATGCGCGTGGTATGCGTGATGAGTGTCAACGCGCGTACTTCGAACTGTACATTAGCTGATGCTGATGGGATCTTAAGGTTTTGGATGTGTGTGTGTGTGTGTGTGTGTGTGTGTGTCGCGATTTTTACAACGTCCTGGAGTCCTGTCAACGAACTACTGTTAATACCGTTCACCACTTTAACGTGTCGCTACGACAAGATATAATAGATTAGTCCAACAGCGTGATATGAAAAAAAGGGAAGAATAAAAATAAAAATGAATACGAAGGATCTCTCGAACGGCGATTGAAGAACGTGTGTAAGCGATGGCGGGCAACAGCCAGATGAAGCGTGTAACTGGAAACGCAAAGATGCCACGGCGTAAAAGGTTCCTGACAAGGACGACGGGGAGAGACGCCTTTTCGCGTTACAGTCGCGCGCAATGAGGACGCACCCTTTGGATAACAATCTGAATGGCACTTACTCCTACTTTCTCACGTTTCCGTAAACCGTAAACGTACACTCGATACTTGCAAATCAAGTTAAAACGGTAAAACAGAATTACGAAGCAGTATTAAAGTGTTAACCCCTTTTGCTCCCGCAGTGTTGCCTCGAAAGCGACATCGTTAATGAGGTTACAAGGTCGCAGTTATGCTCCTCGCTTTAGCGTGAAATCGCATTTACATCTGCGTGGTTCCTCTCTCTCGGCGAAGGGTTGTGGAGTTAGAGGGTGTGTACGTAGTGGTGTGTCACATTATGCGCTGATATTATATATATATATATATATATATATATATATATATATATATATATTTATATGTATGTATATATATATATAGAGAGAGAGAAGACATATGTTACACATATAAAAACTACTTTGGGTTTCAAAGGATTAAAGCTAATCGTCCATTACCGGGAGCCTGTCGGACTGGAAAGAAACCGGATCATTAAAAAACCGAATCGAAAGGAGGAAATGTGTACATGTGTTCGCGTGTGCATGATAATGTTTGTTTCGGGACCATTTCGGGATTGACGGAGATTCACTGTGAACGGAACGACAGTCCTAACTGTATCATATTTTCATCAATTCTCTTTCTCTTTCTCTCACACACACACACACTTTCTCTCTCTCTCTCTCTCACTGTCTCTTTTTTCCGGGTTTTCATTTCTTTTCTTAATTGGCTTTCGTTTTCGTCTCGGTCGGTGATGGTAGTAGTAGTAGTAATAGTAGTAGTAGTTGATTTGCTTGAAAGGACAGCCAGCGATAATTGGGAAACAGATGTTGAGCGGAGTTGTGTCTGCAGGATACTCGGGGTTAACTGGACCTGGAAGGCAGGACCTGGAAATAAAGGATTAAGATCCTCTTGCGTTTACGCGCTGGTCGACGTGACAGTCGTCTTCCGGTATCCATGAGAGCTGGACTGGCTGGCCGCCCTCGATCATCGCTCTCTCGATCGTGGTCTCGTCGCTGACGTCTCTTCTCCTCGTGCGACCTTACGACTACGCACGACCTGTTCCGCTATAAACTTGAGATGGCGTTACGCGACGAACCTTACTACTACTCGCCATACACCTGGTTTCTGTCTCTCTCTCTGTCTCTTTCTCTATCTCTCTTTCTCTCTCTCTTTTGGCGATGCACTTTCATGTAACCACTAACGCAATGTTCGCGTTTCTACGGCGAGAGAAACACGAGTAATATATCTTCCTCTCGTCGTGTAACGTCACCTCTCCTGTAACGTCTCTTGCGACGACACGCGCTGCAGATGACTTTCTCGATGGCCGATCGCTCTCCCGCCAACGAGGCGCGATCGTCTACAATATATCGACATTTTATATTTGTTCAAGAAATAGGATACACCTGGCTCGAGGTCATCCTTGCCTAAAGATGGGGATGAGATGAGACATGGGATTAAAAGTGTTCATTCTTAAAATTCCATTTACATTATACTGTAGCACCCCGTCGATGAATCTTGTTGCAAACGAGAGGAGGAGAATGCAAGTCATCTGCGCGCGCGGTTCCTCGCAAGCAAGGATGGCAATGAAGATGATGGGGGATTGCCGCGAGGAAGATGCCGATTCGATAATCCCTTACATAGTCTCGTCATTAAGACACCAAGGTCGAGTGAGGCCATAGTGAGGTCAATGCGAGGAAGTACACAAGTAACACAAAAACAGGCGGCGAATGGGCCAAGTTCCTGAATCGAGTGAGAGGGTCCAGGGGGCAGGGGGAGGGGGCAACGTGAAGTCGCTCTATGCGCTGACTGTGCGCGCGAGCGCTACTCGTTGGTCGACAGAGAACACAAGACGGGTGAAAAAAGAGCAGAAGGGCCGAGGGGCGAAAAAAAAAAGAAAAAAATATGTATACATATATAAATATATATCAAAGAAGAAGAAGACGAAGAAGAAGAAAAAATCGAAGGGGGTGAGATACATTTGCGATCCACTGCACTGAAAACGTAGCCGGGACGAGACGTTCGACTGCTTCTGTTGGAAATGGCAACAACTTGTGGTGACACGAAAGACATACACACGTACACCGAAAGCCGAACCTCGGACGAACCTCGCGAAGCCTCCGGCTTCTCTCTTTCTGCCGGCTCCCGAAGGTTCGGACCGTCGGGTCCTAAGAAGGGTCTTGTTTA